ATTTCGAAATTTCTATCAAATCTTTTCCTGGATATACCAATCTATAAATCCATAGTCTACTATAATTTTTATAAATGAAGGGTCTCCTCCTTACATAACTGTTATTCTGGTATAAACATTATTTCCCGAAGAGATAAAATATGAATTACTCATTTTTATTTCATAAGCAGTTCTGACTATTTCAGCATATTTTTCTTCTTTTGGATTTAAAGGGATTTTATCTTCTTGGTCTATGATGCTGATTGTTTTGGAATCTCTTTTGTCTCCATGTATTATCACTTTTTTTGTTGATGATATTGAAATAGAATCTGTTTGTTATCAGTTGGTATATTATCACGTCTGGGTCCACTGCTGCTTCCAACTATCTCTGTTTGGTATTGATTTGGAAAACTCATTTCTGAGCCCTTTGGTATATCTGTCTCAGACTGTATATCTTTTAGTTGTGCTGCAATAGCATCAACTTGATTTTTGAGTTCTATGGTCTCTTTATGATGTTCAGTAGTAATATTCAACAATATTTTTATATTAGAGTTGAACATCTCTAAGATCTGTGTTGCTCCGGTATTTATGTCTTCAGATTTTTCTTTAAGAAAATCTGTACTTTTTTGTATATGTAGGATATATTGGTATAAATTCATGATCCTAGCTTTATCCATCAACGAATTCTATATTTCTGCTGAGAAAATCTGCAAGGAAATTATTAACTCCTTTAATATGAACTATATCAAAATTAAAGAATGCTAAATAAGCTTGCTATCTATGGAGCCTTCTGTATTGAGGTTCTGATGATAATTTATTCCTAACTAATCTTGCAACTTGAGAATTATTAGTTTCGATAATAAATTTCTTGGATAATAAAAATAATGAAAACTTTTTTATTCATCTAATAATTGCTAATAATTCTTTCTCATGAGTGGTATAATTTATTTCTGCTTAATTAAAAGTTTCACTTGAATATCTACAAAAATCATTTGAATCTGTTTTTAATATTGCTACCCAATATTTATCTGAGGCATCAGTACTAACAATCAAATTATCTTTTTCATCTGATAATCTTAATTTTGGTAAATTTTTACATTCTTCTTTTAATTATTTAACTATTTCTGTATGTTCTTCATTTCATCCGTTAGTATTTGTTTTCTTAAGTAAAATTTGTATTTTATACCTTTTTTTAGAAAGGTTTTCAATAAAACCTTCTGTATAATTTAAACATCCTAAAAAATTTTGTATTTGTTCTTTAGATTCTAATTTATTTGGAAAACTTTCTATCTTTTTAGATATATGAGTCTATAGTTTTATTCTTCTTTTATCTATTGATAATTCAAGAAAATATATTTCTTATTTTTCTATTAAAGTTTTCTTTTTAGAAAGTACAATTTCTTCTTTTTTATATTCATTTATGAATTGTATTAAATGATTGCAATGTTCTTCTTTACTGTTAGAACATATCACTATATCATCTATATAGACAATTATAAATTCATTAAAAATTTTAAATATATTATCAATTTTTCTTTGATATATCTGTGGTGCATTTTTTAATCCAAATGATATTACTAATCATTCATATTTTTCTTGAGGTGTACTAAATGCAGTATATTGTATACTATCTTCTTCCATTTTTATTTGTCAAAATCCTGATTTACAATCGAATTTAGAATAATATTGTTTTCCTTTTGCAAGATTTATTAAAACTTCTTTATTTGGTAAAAGATATCCATCAAATTTAGTAGATTTATTAAATTCTTTATAATTTATAATTATTCTAGTTTTTCCTCTGACCTTTTCAGAATGTTTCATAACCATAAAGGCTGGACTACTATGAGATTCATTGCTAGGTCTAATAAGTTTTTGTTCTAACAATTCTTTTATCTGATTTTTGAATTCTTGTGTATTTTCTATAGTATACATCGTTGATCTGACTCATATTATAACATTTTCTGTTAATTCTATTTTGACCTTAGGGTGATGTGGTTTTCAAAATAACAATGGATTTTCTCCATAAACTTTTTCTAATTATTCAATAATTTTTTCTATACTAATTTCTATTCTTGTTTTTAAAACTTTTTTATACAATATTCTTTTATTTTTTTTTCATTAAATATTATTGGTTTTTTATTCCCATTTATCAATACACTAGGCTGGCTGAACTCTATAAGGTCTAAATTCTTTTGAAATTTTTAATAAATGTCCACAAGGTATTTGTAGCATTATCATATAATTATTTTGCTTATAATATTGAAATTGTTGTATAAAATCATTTCCTAATAATATATCACATTCTAATTTATCATATTTATAAATCTTATTTATTGTAACTTGTTTACTTCCAAGAATTATACTAACTTTATCAACACTATTAATTATCTGGGTACTTTCTCCTGTGACTCCAGTTATTTTTATATTACTATTATTATTCCATGATTTTATCAAAAAAAATTTAAATATTGTTATATCACTTCCTGTATCTATTAAAGCACGAGTTGTTATATTTGTTTCTAAAATAGTGATTTGAATATATACAACTAATGGAAAACTTATCTGATTATTCATTTAATTTTTTTTACATAATATAGTTTGTCCATTATGAACTATATATAATCCTCTTTTTTTATACTATAATCTTCTAATCCATTTAAAAAACTCATTTCTAAAAATATATAGGGGTTTATATCCATACTTTTATCTATATAACACGGGACTAAAAAATCTATTCCTTTTATTTTTATTGGTACCTTAACTTCCAAATTTGTAATACGTACCCGTCCATCAAAATTTAAATATCTATATGGATCAGTTTTATGAGTTATTAATCATTTATTTCTGATTGAAGCTATATGACATTCACTAGCTCCTGTATCTATTAATATATTTGGTCCATTTATATTTTCTCTTCCATTATAATATTCTCGTTCTATTTTCACGTTTTCAGCATTCTTATATAGTTTTACTTCTTTTATATTATTAAATTCTTCTAACTGATTTTTATTAGGTATTCTAAGACTTTTTGATATTTTGATTAATTTTCCATCCTTATACGTTATATTATTAGAACATTCTCCTTTATTTAATTTTATTATTTCATGTTTATTTCTTATTAAATTAAATTCATATTCTTCTGGAATTAAACTAATTTGTTTATTTGGTTCTATTATTTTGCTAATATCTTTACATTCTTTATGTATTTAAATATAAGGTTTATTGAAATAAATGTTTCCATAATTAGAATTTGTAAATGTGTATAAAGCTCTATATTCTATAGTCATAATTTGATCACCTGATTGCATGATATCATCTCTATGCACTTTAAAATGCAATCCTAAAACTTCATTGAAACTTCTATCTTTTAATGATACACAATATTTTGGGTAACATGTAAACATTATTTTTTGATATGCCAGATTTCCTTCTATTGTTTCCAAATGACTATCTTTTAAATTTATTATTGTTCCATCAGATAAGGTTATAGTTAAGGGTGAGTCTATCCCTTCTCTGAATAATGATGTAAATATTATTTGTATTCCTGCTAAATAAACATATTGAATTTTTTCACTTTGTCTTTTACTAACCTTTGTTAATAATTCTTCAACTATATTTTTTGTTAAAAGATTTAATTTATGTTGTCCATATATTGTTCTTACATCTATCATTTTTTCTATTTTGTGATATTCATTTGTTACTATCCTTTCTTGTTTCCAAATTCTGTCTAAAACTTCCAATTTTTCTATTTTTAAATCTAAAGATAATTTTTGTAATTTTCTAAATTTATTGTTATCAAATGTAACTTTTAATCCATATCCTTTTATTCTTTCATATTATTGTATATTTATATTATTACTTTCTATTTCCTCTATTTCCTCTATTTCCTTATTCAGATTCTGATTCATTATCCTCTGTTTCACTTATATAAACTTCTTGATTATAATATTTTTCAATGTCTGGTATTTCACTCAATTCATCTTTTATTTCCAAATATTCTTTTTATAATATTTTAACTTTCTTTTTATTACAATCAGGGCTTATATGACTTATTTCTCCGCAATTCCAATATTTACATTGACTTTTATTTTTCTGTTGACCAAATGGGATATTTTTTCTTTTATAATATCTTCTTTTAGGTTTTATATATCTTTTATTAAAATTTCTAAAATTTTTAAATTTTTTATTTTTATATTTTCTTTTATTAACCCTTCTTTCAGAATTACATCCCCCACTATATAGGATTTTCTATATCTTCACAACATATTATAATTAATTTTCCTGATTTTTTCATTGATTGTCTCGTCTCTGTTGACATATACATGCTAGTCTCTCAAATAAAATTTTTATTCTTGAACCTAAAGTCCTAGGTATTCCAATACTGTCCCTAACATACTTTTCAAATTCTATTTTAAAATATATTCCCCGTGAACCTGGTAATTTATAATAGTACATATCTTGATATACTTCTTGGTTTTCATTACTGTAAAATTGAACATAATAATAGTTTCTAAATTCACAAGTATATTCTTTAATTTTACACATATCACGTATTGTTAAATTTATCAGCTTAATTCTAGCATTGTCTTTTTCTCTTATTTCTTCCATTTCAGCATTTTTTATCTAATTTTCTCCAAAAAATTCATCTGAAATATATTCTACTAGCTTTTTAATACTTTGTCTATCTAATTTTATTATTTCTTTTTGTACATTTTTTTTATTAATGTTTTTGTATCATCACTAATTCTTTCCTACCAATTTCTAACATCTCCTTTAAAGGATGCAATTAAGAAATCTATTCTTTTTTCAATATTTTCCCATGTGTCATCTTTATTATATAAAAAGAATAATATCATTGAATCTGCCTAAGTTAATAAGGCTTTTTTAGTATATATTTTGCAATTTAGATATAATTTTGTTCCTCCATGCAGGGGCGGACGCAGACATTTTAGACTAGGGGGTCAGTAACGAACTTTTAAAAAAGTGATGAAAAAATTAAAATAAGATATATCTTATTACAATTACTCTCTACGTGTTCTCATACTTTGATAACGTTCAATAATTACATCATTTTCAATCTTATCAAAAACATCTTTCTCAATATAGGCAATCAAACTATCATTCAACCATTGATCTCCAATTCGATTGCGCAGACCATTTTTGACGTAAGTCATCACAGAAAATGCTCTCTCAACTGTAGCAATAGCCACGGGAAGAACTAAGGTTAGTGTCACAAGTTTGTAGACTAATGAATACACTTCATGTTTATTCTTCACAACCAAGTTCTGTGCAAGATCGCTAATGCCTTGTAATTCTTCAAAGTCTTCAGAAGTGCGCATATCAAGAATATACATATCTAGTTGATCATCAAGTTCTAGGATATCTGCTGCATCAAAATCTACCGAATAATACTGACATAGTCGAATCAATTTGATCTTGTCAAAAGCAGCAAATGAATTATTTGGAGATAAACATGCAACACAAATAAGCAAGTCATTATTTTTTTCAGAAAAACGATCATTCAACTCTTAAAGTTGCATATCAATGACAGCATAAAACATTTCCACACGAAAATGATGCAAATTTGTCACTGTCTCACGCCGTGAACGACCTACAGTTACGAACATATCATCCATATCGGGAACATTGATCTTGTGAGTTTCACAAAACAAACAAATCACTCTCAAAAAAGAATCCCATCCATCATCTCTCATGGTTTGGAGTTGTGTTTTACATATTTGCACCAATTTCATAGCATTGACAATATCTTGATCTTTTCTTTGTAATGCTTTTGACAATTCATTTGAAATCCCTAAAATCTTTTTCACGAGATATAGATTAAATGCAAATTCAAATCTTAACATCAACTCCAATGAAATGCATGCATCACCTCTTGTTCCGGTACTTGTAGAATCAGTAGCAATCATCTCAATGACTTCGACTATAGTTGAAAACATGGTAATCAAGTTAATTAAACAACTATAGTGAGAGCCCCAACGTGTATCCCCAGGACGCTAAAGAGTAATTTCTTGATTGAGACCTCGTCCGCTTGATATTTCACCAATACTGAGTGATTCAAGAATTTTCAATCTTTGATTCTCTCGAATAAGATCACTCCGTTTAGCTGATCCTCCAACAATATTCACCAATCTATGTACTGTAGTGAAGAAAGTTTCAATCTTCGGATGTTTCTGTGCCACGGCTACAAGAGCTAATTGAAGTTGATGAGCAAAGCAATGAATACAGTAAGCACTTGGATTTTCTTTCAAAATAAGTGCTTTGAGGCCATTATACTCACCTCGCATGTTACTAGCTCAATCATATCCCTGGTCTCTCAAATTAGATATGCTTAAACTATGCGTTGAGAATAATTGATCAATTGCAGCTTTAAGTGAGGCAGCTGTGGTATTCAAAACATGAATGACACCAATAAAATGTTCCAATATACACCCATTCTTCACATAACGAATGACAACTGACATTTTCCCTTTCACAGAAATGTCTCGAGATTCATCAACTAAAATTGAGAAGAAACTATCACGAATATTTTCGATAATCACATGTAGACATTCAGAAGCAATAGCACTTACAATATCTTTTTGCACTCTTGGTGATGTTAATTTCAAATTTTCAGGTGCATTTGTCAAAGCAACGGCCTTAATCTCAGGATTATGATCACACAACCAATGCAATAGTTCAAGAAAGTTTCCTTGATTGTTTGAATCTTCAGATTCATCATGTCCACGAAATGTCATCCCTTGTCCTAGAAGAAATCGAACACAATCAATTGAAGCATTTAATCGGATTCGATAATTTGTTCGAGCTTGATGATATTGTTTAACGAGACAAGATCGAATACTTCGTTCTTGATTGTTGAACAATTTATATTTGACCCGAGCTTGATTATGTGCACTACTTGAAGCCCCAACGTGTTTTCTTATATATTCTTTCTTTTTCCAATTTGAGAATCCACCTTTAACAAATGAACCAACATTCAAACCGAAAAGATAACAATAAAAGCAAAAAACTGCATCCTTTGCTATACTGTATTCCAACCAAGTGGGATGCTCATTATACCACGAAACACAAAATCGTCGGTCTATTTTACCTATTCTTGTGGGTGGGAATATATGATTGCGAGGCTGACAAGGATCTCTTTGCATATATGCTCTTCGAATCACATCTCGAATATTAACATCATAATTCTGTATTGGAACTCTCAATCCAGGATCAGAGAGAAGCTGTGCAACATCAACATCCCCATCATCTCCAATATCCTCAACATTTCCTCCACTATCCCCAACATCTCCAATATCCTCAACATTTCCAACGTCTCCAATACCCCCAAATCCAACATCAACATCTCCAACGTCTCCAATACCCCCAACATCTCCAACGTCAACATCAACATCAACATCAACATCCCCAACATCGTTTTCATCCCTTTTCTTTCGAACATTCCTTTCGCCGATATTTTGTTCATCACAGGAAATCGTAGATGTACGTTTAAAGTATTTTTCCATAACTGAAACAAACCAACCAAAAATAAAAAATCAACAAGATTAGAAATGCCTAAATCAGATTATACTATTTCCTACCTACCAAAAGTCAGACAAAATTTCAATCTTCCCAAATCAATATTATCAATAATCAATTTACATATAAATAAGTAACAAAGCCCTAAATCAGAAAAGGGTCAATTTCCTAAATCAAAGCCCTAAATCAGAAATCCCTAAATTACATTTATTGGGCAGGAACATGAATCATAATTGATTAATTGAACTGTAAATAAATCCAAATTTAGAAATAGGAACTAACCACACATAGAGGCAGGCAGGCAGCAAAGCAATTAACTTACGGTTATGGTCATTTATGGAGAAGAATTCAAAGAAAAAATTTGAGTAAGTGATAAGTCTGTAAGTGTAAAGCTTTTAAGCTTCAAGTCAGTAGAACTAGAGTCCGCCCCTGACTAATTGCCGGAGAGATTGACGGGTCGCCGGCAGCACTGGCGTCGGCTGTTGCTGTTGCAGTTGCACAGAGGCGTTCCAGGTGGAGGCAGTCAGCAGGGTCAGGCAGAAACAAAGGCGGGGACGGAGCTGACCGAGCGGTGGCGGTGGGTGAGTGCTCTGTGCTGTGCTTCAATGGTGGGAGACTGGCACTGGCGGTCACTGCGCGGTTTGTGCGAGAGACGAGAGTCGAGAGAGAGATATACTGTTGAAGCAGAGAAATTGTTTGAGTTTTGACTATTTTGATTTTTGACCTAATAATTTATTTATTAAAAAAAAGTTAAAACTAGGGGGTCAATTGACCCTACATGCCCCCCCAGATCCGCCAGTGCCTCCATGGTTAATAGGTTTATCATAATTATCATTTAATTCAAACCTATCTCTATATTTATTTCCTTTAGGTGGTTGTCCATTTCTTACTTTATCATAAAATTGTCTATATGGTTTATTATATATAGGTGCATAACTTGCATCTAGATCTTGTAATTTTTGTTTAAAAGTTCCTATTGAATTAGGTCCTCATCCAATATTCATTAAAACTTGGTATTCACTTATATCACTTAAACTTAATTAATCAAAATTTTCTATAAGTAAATCTAATTCCTCATTCATCTTTATCTTCTTTTTCTTCTACTTTTAATTTTCCTAATATTTTTTCTCTAGATTCTTAGCCTAGGGGAATAGGGATGGAGATAGAAGAACAAAATTCTATGAAAATAGAGTTTTATTGATATAAAATTGAAAAAGTACGAAGATATGAACTTGAAATAAATTTGAAAGAACAAATTACAAAGAGAATGAAACTTCTTTTTGCTGAATTCGCTCTGTCTTCATTTGAAATTTTGAGGTCTTCTTATAATGTAATCCGGACTTGAAATTTCTTTCATTTGAGAAAAAGAATCTTGAAAAGGAGAGTGGACGATATTATCATAAAGCATCTTGAAAAGTAGAGCCAACTTTTGACTTCCTTTAATAAAGAGATACTTTTCTTTATTAAAGTAGTGATTGATGTTTACCACAGATTTGATTGGAATCTTGACAAATCTTACACCATTGACTTTGAATTTGACAAAGATTGAGAAGGTTTTGTCTTGATTTGAATACCCTTGAATTTCTTAAATCATCAAGAAAATTGGGTCAATGTAGTTATTTTGAAGCGTCCTTTTGAGCAAGAAATTCTTCATAGTCATAACCTAAATCAATTAAGTCATCACCATTATGTGTTTCTTGCGAGAATTGAGATTCTTGATCATCTTCTTAAGACTTTGATTTTGAAGATCATTGTTTAGAAATTTGTTCATAAATTTCTAAGAGTTCTTTAGGATCTTTACATTTTGATAATATTGAAATAATCCATTGTTTTTCAGTCAAGAAATCTGCTTGACTTTCTTGTTCTTTGATTGAAAATTTAGGAACACCTAAATTTCTTTGTTTTTGAATCCATGATTGAACTGCTTTGGAGCAACAATTTGTTTCTTTGAACTTTAACCACCATTTGATCTTGAATCTTCTTGCAATTTTTTGACAAACAAAATCATCTTTCAGATTTTGATATTGAAAGAAATCCCAGCAAAAGATCCAGGAAACTTTCATATTGAATGAGAACTAAAACAAAAGATTATCTTGAAGGTTCAAAAAAGGTTTTGCTTCATTTTTGAAGTATTCATAACCTTGAAGAGAGAGACTGGACAAAATTTGCTCTTCAAGTCCATGATACAGGAACCATATTTGAAACCAACTTGAAAAATGAGGATTACAATTTTGATTAAAAAGAATGAACCAAGAATGGGTAATAGGTCTAAAAAGAAAGACTTTATACCAAACATTCTGATAATCAAAATAATTTACAGTTTCTTGAGTTGTGAAAAATGTTTTTGAGAGACGAAGTCTCTTTTCTTCCCAAGGATTTTGTCCCCAGTCTTCGTAAGACAAAACTCTTGTAATACTGATTTTTGAAAACATAATATTTGATTTATCTTTTGGTTCAGGAGTATAAGAAATTATTGCTGATCCAGTCAAAAGAAGGATAGTCTCATAATATTCTCTGGATTTTTGAATGTTTGAAGGCATGAACCAAAATTTTTGAGGAACGATACTTGAAAGGCATTCATCAAGACCTTTGTATCTATTGAGCCAGGAGGTTTCCATGTCAAGGACATTTTCGGAAATATTCTTGGTAAAGTATTTGAATGTATTTGGAGGATTAATTTGAGGAAGCTTTCCAGTACTTTAAACGGCTTTTTTGTAGTTCGAAGGGTTTGAAGTTTGAACTTTTTGTTTGGATTTTTGGTCTGGTTTTTTGACAAGGGTTGAAAAAGTGTTTGAAGAAGATGAAGCTTCCTTTTGATCTTTTGGGAGATCTTCAAAAAAAGGGATTGAAGTTTTCTTTTTTCTTGAAGTTTTTGTTTGAAAAGGATTTTGATCATCTTCTTCAACTTGCTTGACCCAACTCATTTTCTCTCTTTTGAATGAACTCTCTTGTGAGGAAGTCTATCAAGAAGTTTGATTTTCCTTGAAAATAAAGAATTTCGAAATCAAAACAGGACAAAATAGCCTTCCATGTTGCAAAGATTTGTTTTGAAACAAGATTTTTTACATCTTTTTGTAAAACATCTTTTGAGGCTTTGCAATCAGTTTTCAAAATAATTTTTTTATTAATTAAATCATTTTGAAATTTTGAGATACAAAGAACTATTAAAAGAATCTCTTTTTTGATAGTGGAATAATTCTTTTGAGGTCCAGACCAAACTCCACTATGAAATCTGACTAACTGTTCTTGAGATGACTCAAATGGGATTTGTTTTAACACACCACCGAATCCAATGTTTGATGCATCTGTCTCGACAATAATTGAGGCTGTGGGGTCAAAAATTGAAAGACAGGGAATATTTTTTATCATCTTTTTGACTTTTTGAACCGCATGCGTACACTCATGATTCCATGGGTCAGGGTTTTTTGTAACCTTTTGAATAATGGGGCACAGACTTGACGTATATCTTTGACGAAATCGGCCACATAATTTACACGACCTAAAAAGCGTTGTAAACTTGTTTTATCTATAATTTCATCTGAAAATTTGTCAGCAAAATCAAGACTTCTTTGAATTTGTGTAATTGTAGAATTTTAAATAAAATGACCAAGAAAACGAATTTTTTTTTGAAATAAAACAATCTTTTTAGCAGAAACTGCTAATCCATTTTTCTTGATAATATGAATGAATGTATGAATATGCTTAAAATGTTGTTCTATATTTTGTGAAAAAATAAGAACATCATCGATATAAACAATAATGAAATTTG